GATTCAGTCAAACCTTAATTTATGTCCAATATTCAAACTTCACTTGAAAGTTTCACTATATTTCGAGATTCAGTGGGCTCTTGGTGTAATGGGAACCTTGTTATGCTACATCTTGGGATTCTCAATTAACAATTTAACCAAAAGATGCAACATAGTGCAACCTCGGGCTGTTTGACTATGAGGAGCCATTAGTGATATCCTAAGCTAAGTTAAATGCCATGCAATGCAAGAAAACATGGTTTTGGTCTGAAAATCAAAACAAATTATAACTAAATGAATACAAAAAAGAAGAAGAAGCCTAAGCTACTATATTTTTGGTATTTTTGAATAAAATGATTGAGTGAAAATGGATGATATGAAATCTCTTGAAAACAGTGTTGATGGCAATTATAGTTTACTCAAGATAATGAGAGTTTTATAAAAATCATTAGGCTCTTGTGATTAAAAACCTCAATGACCCATTGCGTCCGATGTTTAAATCAATGAATTTCATTAATAAAAGGGTAAAAACATTGTTAAGCTCTCCTAATATGTAATTTGAAAATAATCAATGCAATTGGTTTAATGTAACTCAGAATCAACTCAATATCCACACACAATTATGCTAGAAAAAAAAGAATCAAGAAAATCACAACGAAACATATATATATAACCACATATATTAAAGCACAAAATCCAATATTAACCAATCCAAGTCACAAAATTAAATCATTCAGAAATGATTATAGAACGATTCAAGTGTCAAAACCAGAATTACAATTCCTAAGACCTAGAAAATCATAAATACATAACTAAAAATTAAAGATTGAAGCTAAACTCCTGTTTGAAGCTTGGAAACTCATGCCACCGTTGCCATCCTCAACAGTTGCTCCTAGCCACTCATAGCTTCAAGATTGACTCTAATCAAAGTGAATCCGTCAGCTAGAGCAGCAGGAAATGAAAGAAAATGAATAGAAACCAAGGAAGAATGGCAGAAATAGAGGTAAAGCAACAAAGAAATGGAGAGACAAGAGATGGGAATGCAGGTGTAGGAAGTCCTAAACTAAGCCTAAGGTTCGTGTATTTCACGGAGAAAGTGGAGTCTGGTCATTAAAATTTGGGTAGGATCCGTTTTGCTTTGGATCTAATGCTCAAAACGTTGTGCTGCAAAATACGACATTTTGGCCGCATCCCCATGCATTGTGGCACGGTAAACTACATAGAGAGACACTTGGTTTTTTTATTGTGTAATTCCTTAGTCTTTGATCTTAGCTCTAACTGTCAAGTTTCCTGTAATGAAAACTACATAGAGAGACACTTGGTCATAGTGCCACGGTACATCAAACACCTCTATACTAGAGGTAATACCTCAATACCAGAGGCAATGACTCTGCCTTAGTGCATGTAAGAGTCTATCCCTCTTACAATCCCATGATTCTAAGTACTCCCTCTAGTTCAAAATATAAACTACACTTTATTGGAAAGGCTTATTTTTTGTTTTATAAGATAACATTTAATTTTGTCTAAGCATTTAATGAGTTTTTTGAATTTTACCCTCCATATATTCTCTTTCTTCTTTGATTCATTTATAACATATTTTACTTATTCTCTTCATCAATAAGGGCATGTTTGGAAAAAAAATACGTGCATTACATATTTATTGTTTAAAACTAATTTTAACTAATTTTTTGATAAAAATAAATAAATAAAGTTTATTTTATATTTTGAACCAAAGGGAGTAATAAATGAAGATGTATTACAATGCAGTGAATTTTCTTTGTCTCTCACAACAGAGTGAATAATGATCACTGAAACTCGATAAATTTTTCACAGAATATTGTGAAAAACATTCTTTCAACTGTTTGCTAGTAGTTCAATTCTTGTTCACTACAATATTCTTCTTTTTCATTCTATGCAATTTTTTATTTGTGGTCTACCTCTGAATTTGTCAGTTAGACACAAAGTATAGTTTTGTTGAAGCTTGCGTCTAGGCTGGATGAGAGCATTAAATGTTTGAAACTTGTGTATGTGACTATTTGAGAGTCAGCTCATTTTAATCCTCTCTAACAAAGTGCTTTTTCTCTTCATATTTTACTTGTTGGAACTCTGATATCTTGTAGATTGTTCTGAAAATATTTTTCTCCTGACAAGATACTCTTATTGAAAATATTTTGATTGTATTTTTCAAATCTAATAAAATAATCTTTAATAATAGAAATTGAATAGAGAAATCTTTGGACAAATTTCCAAAGTAGTGAAATTGGTCAACAGAAGCAATACACCGTTAGAACTCCGTCCCACTCAATAGAGTTGAAATCACTTTTGACTAAAATTTATTCAAAATTGTACTCGAACACTCATATTATCATATTTTATTGAAAAAAGACTTTTAGCATTAAAAACTTGTAGTAAAACTTCAATATATTGGAGTTGGTTATTAACACAAATGAAAAAAAAAAAAAAAGGTATCCGGATAAAGAACAAGACTCTTCTTGTCTTGGTTCATAATTTGGATCCAGGCAAATCAAATATTCAACATTAAGAAAACGTTTATGAATAAGTTAAACGGGTTTTATGAAACAAATCTAAAGACAATAATTTTTATGAAAACTTTTCAAAGTTTATCTTAACTTAATTAAATTACCTTCAAAATAAATTCTTTTCTAAATTTGATATCATCAAAATATTAGGTCTGTCATTCTAACACAAATCAAATACGAATATCCAAATTTTGCAATATTACTTTTTTGGTTTCGAAATAGATGAATAATTTAAAAAAAATCTACTGGTCATATTTGAATTGACAATCAGGTCTTTAACCCTATGTTTGGTATGAGGAAATTAAAAGGAAGGAGAAAGAAGAGAAAATTTTAATGAGTTTAATTTAAAAAACTTATTAAAGAAGTGGGGTTGCAAAATTTTGATAGAAAGAAGACGTAAAATAAAAGAGTAAGCAAAATTAACTAAAAGCTTTTAATCTCACTTCTTCAATTTTTGAAAATTGAGCTTGTTAAAATTATTTCTCCCCTCTCATTTCCTCTGTTTTCATCATACCAAATAGAGCCTAAAATTAACTACACATTTTTAGGATCTATTTGGCACAATAAAAATGTAAAGGAAAAAAAAAAAGGGAAAAATCTATTATTTTTCATCACACCCAATATGTTCGGACGTCAACCTTTATGGGAATTCAATTTCATGCGGGACATAATTTTCTCTTATACACGGCAGTGCTGCGTTCCACTATTTTTGACGAAAACCAATTTTTAGTTGCGATGAGAAAATCTAAAAAATAAATTTACCCCTGAAAATACAAGTAAAAACTCTTCGCCTGACCAATCTCGAAGCTAGAAGACCCCAGTGTTCAGTTCAATTAACAAAAGAAATAGTTAGCTTCGCATTAAAACATGGGCTAACACTGAACAAAATATTTTTTACAAATAAAACATGCATTAAAACAATTCTTGCAATTGCCTTGGAGATTATTTAGGGATAAAATACTCCTCCGATCCTTATTATAAGACCCCATTTGACTTTTTATTTGGTCCTAATTATAAGACCCCAATCCATTTTGTCTCTTATATTTATGCATTTTTTTCCAAGATAATCCTTCTAATAATGATAGTTTTAGCCAATATACTTAATTAGTAAGGATATTTTAGGAATGACAACACTTATTTATTATAAATAACCAACTTAACTTACTTCCTTAATCTCCTCAAATAAGTCAATTGGGTCTTATAATTAGGACCGGAGGAGTAATTAAATATGAGGGACAAAATGGATTGTGATTTTATATTTAGGACTAAATCGAATCTCTAATTAATTCTTATATTAAGAACCAGACACAGCATCATAATGGGAAGCAACCCATAATTTCACGCTATTAAAAGCTGAAACCCTAAAGCTGTGTAAGTATTAAGCAACTAAACAGGCTGTCACCATTTTCAAATCAGCGCACAAGCGAAGCATCCCTTGGCTTTGAAACCTTTTTCACGAATTCTTGAAACTTAATGAACACTTGGATTTTTTTTTTTCTATTTATGCTAAAGAAATTCGAATTTTCTCCTATTAAATTTGAATTTGCTAACTAGTTTCAAATTTGACTTGCCTTACACAAAACAACTAAAAACTCAACTTCCGGTGGACATAATGTATTTTGAAATGTATTAACAAAATATTCAGAAAAGGTTGAAAATATTTCTCTCATCAGATATCAGATTAAAGCTCCACATTTTTTTATCATAAAAAAGTTATGAGATGAGTGTTATTTAAAAGATCGTTGAGTTTATTTTGATATGAAACAAGTTTCACTACACAGTTTTCTTTTCTTTTGTTTTTTCTTGCCAACAATAAGAACGCAATTTGTGAGATATTGTAAGACCATTTATCAAATACTCCTAACCTTTGCTTAGTATTTGGATCATAATTTTCAAAATACAAAGATTATTTTAATGTCTTCTTGTATTAGAAAGTAGACTCATATAGCTTTTCAATAATATATCATTCGGTCAATTTGAATTTAAATTAATAAATGAATGTTCATTGCAAATTGATCATTAAATTTATTTTGTTTATGTTCATTAGAGTTTGTAAGTTGATCTGTTCAATTGTAGGGATAAAGAGGGATACTAACAGAAATTTTCTAGACACATTTGAATTTCGTAAATCTTGTCATCTCGGATTTCAAATCCAAATTTGGTTAACCTTGCAGAATGGCGTCTCTGAAATTTAAATTTCTTTATAAATCCATAGTCATTTGAATAAGGTTTTTTTTTCCATTATTTTATTGTTATTTTCAACTTACCAAACACAGGTTTTTTTATCAAACCACATAACATGCCAAACACGTGCGCAAGCAAAATTTTTCCTTTCCCTTCCCTCCTTTAATTCTTCTCACCAAAAGGCACGAAGCCAAAACCCAAAAAGGCATGAAGCCATTTAAAAAAGCCGAAAACTCTTTTAAGAAAATGAAAAGGAAAGATTCAACACAAGTTAAACAGATTTTTCAAACATACAAGTCAAAACCCTATCAATAGACACTTCTACCAAAAGAAAAAAATGACTAAAAATTGATAAACGGAGTTCATGGCACAATAATTGGTACTACTTATAATGACACCTCAGTAGCCACCAGCACAATGATCATTGCACACATCCAACAACATTTAACTTACAAACTAGTATAATTTGGTTCAGTACAAACTTGTATAATTACTTTACAACTACAATGCAATATCATCAGATTGAGTCTGTCTCTTCATCTTCACAGAATCTTGGGCTTGCTTCTGGCAGGAAGCAACTGCATTGCACAAAACAAAATTGAGCAAATAAATAAAATAAGCATTGCAAAGCCCCTCGGATGGTGTAAAAGGAAGATAATTCTTTAGAAATTGAGTTCAATTTGCTAAGTGAATCACCATTGATGACGTTGAAAACCCATAAATATGATCTTACCATCAACAAAATTGAATGTAAACTATTTGGTAGGAGGGGAGGAAAGGAAAAATTTTAATGAGTTTGATTTCAATAACTAAAAAAGTGGGGTTAAAACTTATAATAATTTTTCTTACTCTTTTATCTTAAAATTTTTTAACCCTACTTCTCAAATTTTTTAAATTGAGTTCAATAAGATCCCCCCCCCCCCAACCGCAAAAAAAACCACATTTCTCTTGTACCAATCATAGGATAAAGCTTTGGCAACAAGACATTAATGGATTTCTAAAACTTTTCGAGTCAAAGAATGATAATTAATTTCTAAAGACTATAACTGATGGAACATGCATCTTCCAGGGATTCAAATGCTAGCTAACTCCGTGCGCTCCCTAAACATTGTTATTCAATTCCATTTGTCTCTATAGAAAAATTACCAAGAGCATGCCTTGTTTGTTAGTGCAAGTGGATATAAAAGAAGTTGGAAAATGAAACAGAGACACTAACTCTCAAAAAAATCAGGGTGCTCGGAATAAGAGACGCTGAAGGTTAATCATAGGGATAATAGCAGGCACCTGATAGCAAGATATTAGGGAAGTGACGAATCCAAAGGCACCGGTCACACGGGGAGTAACTTTCTTGGGTGCCAATTGAAGCAGCCCAACTGCTACAACTATATCCATTGCTGCCTTGATAAGCGCAAGAGTCCTCTCATTCGACATTTTTAGTTTCGCACGGTACTGCTCATTCTGCACTCACGGGGAATGGGGTTAAATAAAATGTAGTTTTAGAACAGAGGAAAGCACCAATACCGTCCAAACAAGATTTTTTTTTTTGGGGGGTGGGGGGCTATGAAGAACCCATACATCATATTTATTACTGTTCTTGAGTTCCTTCTCTAACTTCTTCATTGATGCAGAGAGTCTCCCAAGCTCCCCAAGCTGATAGAAGTTAGAAAACACCATAAAGATGTTAATAGAGGAGAGAGAAAGGAGCCTTTGCTGGTATGTACACGGTAAAAGTATAGGGACTAGAAAGGGAAGCCACAAACCTCAACCAAGGTGCTACACACTGAGGAACCCATCCAACAAAAAAGCGATATTCGGCCGATTAGCTCAGTATGTTCTTTGCTCTGTAGTTGAACCAAAAAAGTTTACATGTATAACTTGATTACTCGGTGAAAGTTTCCCATGAATAATTCAAGGAATAAAAAGGAAACACTTTGATTCCTACCTGGTAGATGCCTGATCTGCCAAGCCACACAAATTGATCGAGAAACAAGAAAGTTGACAGCAATGCATTTTTGGACTGAAAATAGCATTAAACAGTATATCAAGGTAAGAATGAGGAACAAAATAAGAGGGTGACGAAAAGTTGGAATAACTTTGATGAAGATTGTACCTTTCCCAACAAAATTAAGGGAAGAGGAGTTCCGCGTGGAGCCGGACCTATCAGAGCATGCAGATCGTTGACAAACTGCATATCAAAATATCAATTAGTTCTTCTTTTCTATGTTAGGAATTCTTCTTTGAGTATAAGAAGAAACAAATAGGTTGCAAAATAAATGTTTCAAAACTGTCTGTTACAATTTACTTTCCAATTCTGTCACTGTAGAAACAAAGAATAATATTCACATTAGTAGAAATATTACAGTTTCTCCATTTACATAAATAAAGACTTGGCCCAAAGAAAAAAGGAATTAAGAGAATGCAGACAAGTAAAAAGATTTAATCCATTTGTATAATACAAGGAGTAGATTATCCAAAGGAAAACAAAAACAATGAATAAATGAATAGCATAATTGTTCAAGATTAAAATGGATAATCCAACCTTGAATAGACGAAAAACTTTGCGAGCCAAAGTGGTTGATCTGTCGACATTCTGGGCAGTACCAGGTTGCCCATCACTCAGAAATTTGGAACCATACTGTATTGCCCTGCATATTTTGTCCCTGGCTTCAGCCTTGTTCAAATATAAAACCAGAAGACCAAGTTCCGCTCTGGTTGCATCCAATGTACTCATCTTTTATACTTGTTAAAGCTGCAAAACAAAAGGCACAATTCTACTGTTAAATGAGGCCATGAGTTTTAGCTCAATAGAATTCTGATTCAATTGATAATATGCAAAAAGAATCATTTAAATAAAGGAAAAGATGACTTGTTCATCTATTGAACTCATATACAACAGTGTGCAATTTCACACACATTGGAAAGAATAAGCACAAAGGTATTCTCACACATTATGGAAATGAGCAATACAATTTAGCAGAAGACAAAACCTCAGCTCGTGCCACACAAGCATGCAAATCATTTACACTGGCAAGTAAATGATAATCATGGTACGAAGTGTGATTCAACTAAGTGGATATGTTTGAACAAAAAAATTAAGTGGGTACGCCTTTGTGTGCTTGACAATTTAGCCTTGCTGTAGCAATAAATTGTTGCCCATTAGTAACATTCGATTTTAAAGAAAAATGAAAAGGAACCAAAGGCAATGCAGTAAATTGTTTAATAATCACTTTTTCAGCAGGTTTATTTTAATTTCTCCACTCAAATATAAAGACTCGTAGTATAGCATGAAGAAAGGTTGAATCCAAATAATCAACCGCCTAGAATTGAAATTTACTCCAACAGAAAAGAACCAGTAAAAATGTCCACCTTGAGATCGAAATTTTGAAACTAATGACTAAAAGCTAAGGCATCAGCATCGATGTTTGTTTTACAAGTATTGAATAAGAACAGAAGTAGTCTAATAGGCCCTTCGTTGATGTTTTGAACAACTTTCAAATTCTCCTCTAAAAGCTTATAATTTTTCTGCTGGGGCATCAGGACATTAATCAGGATTAAATTTCTTACAAAGAAGAAAGAAATAAATGCTTGAGGAGAAGCCAAAATATGAACAGACCCAAGATACGTTTAGCATGTGACTCAAGCTGCAATGAATATTAAGTGTATTTTTATAGCAAAAACAACTGTTTGGATATGATTGAAATTGCAAAGAAATAAATTTTATATCGTCAAAACTCGAAACGATAAGCCGTATTCAATAACACATATTTTTTACCTGAATTCAATAACACATATTGAAAGAAAACATGTGAATCACAAGCTTAAAATCCCCAATTTCCCCAGTCCTTCCTTCAAAGTTCGGAGCTACCGTGCATCACAAAATAAACAATTTATAGAACAGAATATCTTTTTTTTTTTTGAGCTGGATATAGAAAAGAATATAAAAAATATGGCAAATAACCAAAATGATAAATTTCAGCAGTTCCTTTATGAATTCTCAATCCTGAGCCATACCAAGACGAGCACCCCCAATCAGACCCAAAATCCAAAACTTCAAATCCAGCAATCAAAAGTTACTCTATTTGCACCACAAACAAAAATTTCAACCATCTAGAAACCATAGGTGCAAGTGAGTTCCCTGATTACTCGACGGAGGCGAACAGCGAACAAACAGGACACGCAGAGAGAACAGGAGAAAGAGAGTGGATGTACCAAAGGAAGTGGCAGATAAATTCGCTTTGAATAATCAAAATCACAAAGTTGGCAGAACCAGAACGCCTCTGTGTTGCTTGTAGCATTGCGATGATAGGCTTTTGAAAAGGGCGTGGTTGGTCCTCTTCGTTTCCCGGCAAACAAACAAAACATTTTTAGCACACGAAAATTCCTTCATCTTAATCCGCTTAGACCCCTATATGGCTGCATCAAGATTTTCCATGGGAAATTGCGACCCACCCCCACGACACCGTTCAAGTCTCTAGATTTTCATTTTTAAAACTAAATAGATCAGAATTCTTTATTAAATAAAAAGCAAGGAAAATTGGGGATGAATTGTGAGAAATTAATTGGTAAATTGGATCTAATTATAAAAACTAGTTGACTAATTTAAAAAATTAAAAAAATAAGTTAAATTAGTTATTTTTAATAAATATGTGTTGTCTTTCCTAAAATATCCTTACTAATCAAGTGTATAAGCTACAACTACTAATATTAGGAGGACTACCTTAAAAAAAATGCATAAATAATAGAGACAAAATGGATTGAAATTTTATATTTAGAACCAAAGTAAAAATCAAACAAAGTCTTATATTAAAGATCGGAGGTAGTATCTAATAACTTTATACAACTTAACTTTTATTAAGAAATTTTCTCAAAATAAAAAAAGAAATTGAGAAATTCCAAATCAAGATTTGACCAATGCTTTCTGAAGGAGACCGAATATTAAATCACTTAAAGTACTTCCCTGGTCCAAAAAAAAAAAAATCACTTAAAGTACTATTAGCTCTGTTGGCGGAAAAGAAACAGTATCATTGGTCACGGTTCAATAATTGGATTCAAATTAAACTGTGGTTCAAAAGACAGTCATTAAAATTATTATATTTCTAAATATATATAAATTATTATCGGTAGGATGACATTAAAGTTCCATGGGAATGCACTAATGCCATTAAGTCTCACCAAATGAGGAAATGCCGATAACACTTTAAGAGACTTAAATAAAACTAAAATTTTGAACGTAAAATACTCTTCCCTAGTTTTCAAAAATAAAAAAAATAAAAATCTTCCCTACAGTCACTGGTTCTGAAAAGGTGTCTATTAAGCCAGTTCTATTTAGTTAGAAGAAACAAGCAAGTCTTCATAGGAACGATAAAGAAGTGAGGATCTGCAGAAGGCAAAAGAGATGCATGATTAGGGTACATAATTCAGAGGAGAAGGAAGAAGCAGCAGGGGTGGAGAGCAGTTGAAATCATAAAATCCGTAAATTGTAAGTGCGTTTGATTTCTGTTTTTTGAAAATTGTTTTCATTTGGAAAAAAAAAATTGTTTGCTTGAGGGGGTATGTCGTATCTAAATGTTTTTTTAAAAACAATTCCTATTTTTGGTTATTAAAATCAAGAAAATGGAAACATCTTAGAGCTGCTCCTATTTTTGGTATGTCGTATCTAACGGCGAGTTTGGGATGGCATAAGTAATTAAGTAATAAGGGACTTTTGTTCCAAAAGCTCAGTCAAAGATTAAAAATTTGTTTGAGATAGCATCCAAAATACTTATAAATACGTTTCATATAAGTTAAGATAAAAAAAAATTCTCATATACTTATCTCGTGTTTTATAAATTATGATTAAAAAACTTTTTATAAGTTTTTATAAACGAATCACAAGCCAAATTTTTCTGCTTCCGAGAAATGAACAGTGCGGTAAGCTATTTTTACCAACAATTAATGCCCTATGAAAATTAACTTGCCAAAGCTGCCTTATGTTGTCTTGCTTTTTTTCTCTGCTAGCTCAGCAATTTTCGTATTTTACTTTGCCTGCTAGCCGCTCTTTTATTTGTTCAATGATAAATTATTGATAATGTTAGTCTTGCATAATTTTTACGCAAAAAACAGAATGCTGATAAGGGAGCCAGTAGGACTTAGGAGGCATTAATTGTGGCTGCTAGAAGATTTTCCCATTTTCTTTTTTTTCCCACATTTCTCTTAAAATTTTCATATTTTGTAAATATAATATATATAATAGTGAAAAATAGATATATCGTGGGAAAAAAATATGTATTATTTACTTAACATAATATCTATACTCTCGCAAAAAAAAGAAATATATATTATTTAATAAAATTCATATCGTTTTCAATTATTTTACAATTAATTTTTTTTTTCAATAATAATTCAAACAATTTCTACTTTTACAGACTGATTTTTTTTTAAAAAAAAAAGCTCATCCAAACATAAATTACAATATACTACCTCCGATCCTAATTATAAGAGCCATTTAACTAATTTGAGGAGATTAAGAAAGTAAGTTGAGTTAGTTATTTGTCCTAAATATGTGTTGTATTTCTTAAAATATTCTTACTAATTAAGTGTATTAACTAAAACTATCATTATTAGAAGGGTTACTTTGAAAAAAAAAATATAAATATGAGAGACAAAGTAGATTGAGGTCTTATATTTAAAACTAAAATAAAAATCAAATAAAATTTTATATTAAAGACCGGAGGCAGTGCTAACTAACTTTTATTCAAAAGTCATATTAAAAAAATATTTACTTCTACTGCTACTAACCTAACTAGTACAACCTGTAATAACCAGTACCGATTGGCACTGCCTATTGTCAACTCACCATGGGTGGCATCAGTTGACCTCCATTGCCATCCGCTAGTGGGCTTCACCATCAGCCCAACGATCATCATGAATGGCTTTTGTCATATTTCAGATTTCAAGTCCGGAAGTTTAAAAACAAGCCTAAAATAGACAGGCTATTAAGCTCAGGTGAATAAAAGATCCCAAGAATACCATAAAGGAATAGAACATTTTAAAGGACTAAATGCAAAGTAAAAAATTTTTTAAAACTAAATTATAAATATTTTCAGAGATTCTAGAAAAGTTACAACTTTCAAAATTGAGGTAAAAGGTCTATAAGTTATGTCGAAACTTAGAGATTGCAAAAATGTTTATACCAGCGGTAGTCAAAGTGTAACTTTAGAAAGTTTTGGGTAGTAGTAGTAATTATGAGAAAAAAATGCTTGAAAATATTTAAAAAAAATGAGAAAAAATAGGAAATAATGTTTTAAGACCCATTGGAGAGTGAAAACGAGGAAAATACCTCGAGAAGACAATTTAAGTTATTTTTGAGATTCTGGTTAATTAAATGATATTAACCAAATCAAATTTTTGAAATACGAGGATACCTCAAATAATTGAAAAAACTGGGCAATAGTTATTTGGGTATTAAAGAGAATTTATAAAAATGATAATTTACTCCAAAGATGATACTATTGGTTTTAATTTCTCAAAAAATTTAAGGAAAAAAAATACTTAGAGGCTAGTCTTGGCTTGAAAAAAATTAGAGGAGTGCTGCATAACAAATGTGAATTTTTGATGATTACATATTGAATATATGATTAAAGAATCATCAAAATGCATTTGTAGGGATTAATTCCATATAAGCTGAGAAATTAAATCATTTGAAGGCTTCGCCTGAAAACCTCCCTCAATGGTCCAGAAAGGAAGTCAAAGTACTGGAGTTGCAAACAGTTCGGAAAACCAAAGTCTGGAAGGTTTCGGAATGTCAAGAGGCTGTCAGGTAGCAGGTGTTCTATAGAATCGTCAGGTATCATAAATATACTGATGATAAGATGATTGTACGTTAAAAATAATCAAGTATGTTAAAAATTTAACTTATTTTATTTAACCTAATAAAAATAAAACATACTTGATGGTTTTTTTTTATATAATCCATCAAGTTCGTATTGCAAATAAAAAATAGATTAAAAAAAAAAGAAACAATGACAAAAGAAAATGCAAAAACGAAATTAGGGCCATGTTTGTTTCTTTCTATGTTTTTTG